TTGGTCGTGGTATTTTGCTGAAGTAATAGAAACTCGAACTAAGACAACTACATTCCCAGCCCCAGTTTATATATGTTTATATTAAATCTTTGAAATCTATAGTATATTTTACACTTACAGCATATCACAATTTAGATGGCAGCATTCATGGTTCAGCAACCATCAGTGTCTGAGGGCTATTTTATCAGCTGCTGTAGCTTTGGAGCCCACACAATAGAAGATGTGTGATGATTGGAATGAAATTAGAAACAGGAAAAGTTTGTTGAGTGAATCCAGTGAAAACCAGTAAGGGCTTAAACAGAGAGAGTGGTAGATGTGATACAAGCAGCTTTTAGAAAATGGTTCCAGACTGGATATGCTGGTGCAAGTCAAAACACAGGAAGTTGGAGACATAGAGTTATGTTAGTTGAAGGACAGCCTTTTTTCTTTGAAAACTTTTTTTAAAGTTTTCATATTCTGTATAATCTTACGCAACCTGATTTTTTTTTAATTCAGCATTAGGTTTCTGCATCTCCTCTATATTGATGTGGCAAGCTATAGTTCTTGTATCTTTTTTCTTTATTTTATTTTATTTTTTAAGAATGAGGGGTTGGAGAGATGGCTCCGCTGTTAAGGGCACTTGCTCTTGTAAAGGACCCAGGTTTGATTCCCAGCACCCATGTGGCAGCTCACAACCATCCATGATTCCAGTTCCAGGGGACCCATCACCCTCTTCTGACCTTTGAGGGCACCAGGCACTCACGTGGTACACAGACACATACAAGCAAAACTTTTGACACATGCACACAAATCTTTTAAAAAAATGGTTTGAGGGCACTGTAAGAGGGCAGGGAGCAGGGCAGTAACTAGAGTATCCCTTTTGATATGTAACTTTGTATTGTAAGAATATACGATTACAATCAATGTTCCTATTGCTTTTCCCTCCCCGCTTTGATAAAGCGTTGCTGTGAACATTGTTAGAGAAGTCTCAGTACACGAGGAACGGTTTCCTCTTAGATCTGTGGACTAGTGGGTCCTTTGAGACATTTTTATTACAAGCATTTCACTTACTTTGTAGCTTGCTTTATATTCAAAAGTTGATTTTTGATTTTAAAGTTCTATAGTTGAAATTAACTATCTTTTATGTTTAGTGCTTTTTTAAAGAGTCTTAAATTCTTCTAATGGTCACAGATTTTCTTTTTTAAAAGCTTTTTCATGTAAGTTGCAGCTCATTTGAACCATGTATTGATTAGCCTTTTACTAGTTATCTGTTACTGTACAGTAAACTGCCCCAGCTTAGCAACTTACAACAGCAGATACTTATTATTTTTCTATGTGGAAGGAATTGGAGGGTTTGGGTTCAGGACTTCTGAGGTTCTTGTCAGTTATTCGCCATGGTTGTACTAATCTCAGCCTCTGACTCACTCGTGACTGCTGGCCTCCATGGTTCCATTTCCAAACTCGGTCGTGTGGTTTTAGTTAGACCTTGGTCCCATGTCCTTTAAGTCTCTAAAATGTGCCTGAGGGGGTTGAGGGTATGGTGGTAGAACACAGCATAGCATGCTCAAGGTCTTGAGTTCAGTCCCTAGCATGTGGCATAGAAGACACACATACTGGATATAGTGGCTCATGCCTGTGTTTCCAGCACTCAAGGAGGATCACCATGAGCTCCAGGACACCCTGGGCTACATGTATGAGACCCTTTGTCAAAACAAAAGCACAAAAGTTGTCTGAATAGTCTGAGGATCCTTCCAACATAGCAGTGAGCTTCTTGAAGTAATGAGAAAGTTCAAGAGAATACAAAAAAGAAAAATAAATTGGAGGTGGGAAGGTTGTTTACTTGTTTTAGGTAAAGTCTTATCTATCTCTGCTGGCCAAGAACTCACTGTGTAGCCAAAGGTGTCCTTCAGTTTATAATCCTCCTTCCTCTACCTCCCAAGTGATGGGATCCCAGGTATGACCATCTTATTCAGTGTTGGGGATCAAGCCCAGGGTTTTTTGCATGGTAGGCAAGCAAGCTACCAGTTGAGCTGTATCCACAGGCCAGAAATAGCCGTCCTATACAGTGTAGTCTTAAAAGGAACCTGTTTCTTCTGCTATACTCAGTACTCCGTATAGATCAAATTCAAGGGAAATTAAGTCTTCCTCTTGATGGAAGTTGTGCCAAAGTATCTGGATATACCTTATGGTCACCACAGTCCTTGCACAGTGATGTGCAGTGGCAACTCTGTCAGTTAAAAATTTGCCAGACTCCAGTCTGTTTCTGGCCTCTTTAGTTTGATCTATTGGTTCAGTTTGTTTACATCATTTTTCTTTTTTTCTAACCTTAAATGTGAGTTTACTCCCAAGTTTCAGTTCTTGCTTTTCTCCCACTCAATGTATTCATGTATTTTTATTCTAAGAGAATATCCATATGCCTTGGTACCTATGGAATCTTAACAGAAGATCTCAAACTGTATGTAGACATTACGTCAGGCTCTTCATATCTGATATATATATATATATATATATATATATATATATATATTTCTTCTTTGGAGAAACCTTCAATTATTATTATGATACTATCATGAGAAACAATGTCGAGTGTGTTAGTTTTCCATTGTTTAATATAATTGAGAGTAATCCACCTAAAACAAGAAACTGTTTTAGATTTATGGTTTCCATGGTTTTGGTCCATGGTTGGCTGGCTCGGTTCCTTTTGGGCCTGTGGTAAATAGTACATGGTTTAACAACTCTGCTTCAGGACAACCCAGAAGCAGAAAGAGATAAGGCCAGGTTCCCAATATTTCTTTGAAAAGAATGACTTTTCTTTCAGTAAGACCCACTTCCTAAAGGTTCTACTACTTCCTCATCATGCTGTAGGCTGGCAGATTGTCCTGGTGTCTAGGGAACACTCAGCTAGACTGTAGTATCCCGTATTTAACACTATAGGCTTTGATAGGAATTGTACACAGAAATGTTTCTACTGCTTGATGTGTGTAGCTATCAGCAGAGAGACCCACATCTCTTTAGTTTTCTATTCTAGGGAAGGACGGACAATAAGTGTGATTGTAACACAAATCTTAAAAGGTCTTAATAAAAAAAAAAACTGGAGCCAGATATTGGGGTGAATGCTGAAAAATCAGAGAAACAGTACAAGCTACAGCCAATCTCACCTCGCCAACTCCTCAGCCGATCATGTTTCCACAAATCCTCAGACTGAAAGCCTCTTAAGTCCTCACCTCTGAGGGTCTCAGTTGAACTGCTGCTAAAAAACCTCTAACTCCTGGTCCTCACGCTCTATATACCTTTCTGCTTCCTGCCATCACTTCCTGGAATTAAAAGCGTGTGTTCTTCCCAAGCAAAGCCGTGAGATCTCAAGTGCTGGGATTAAAGGTGTGTGCCACCACCCTTGGCTCTGTTTCCAGTGTGGCTTTGAACTCACAGAGATCCAGATGGATCTCTGCCTTTGAGTGATAGGATTAAAGGTGTGTACCACCATGCCTGACCTCTATGTCTAAATTTGGTGGCTGGCTCTGTCCTCTGATCCCCAGATAAGTTTTATTGGAGCGCACAAATAAAATATCACATGTGGTACCTTAGGCAATCTTACATGTGAGGAAGAAGACATAAAACAGTATACAGAGAGTTAGTATTAGAGGAGGGCAGCAAAGGTTACATGTGGGAGTGAACATGTGTTACAGGCAAAGGGACTAGCCATTGAAGACCCTGAAGGAGTTGTCTAATGACTAGACAGCAGATATGCAATATGTAGGAAGTTAAGGGAAAGGAACAAATAGCAACATATGAGAGTTAAAGATATAAGGGAAGTAAAGCATATTCAAGAACTCAGGAGCTGTTTGAGGGCTTTGAGCAGAGGGAATCTATTCTGCCTTATATTTGTGTTTAAACTGCAGAGGCTGTTATATAAGTAGTGCACTGAAGTTGTGGCAAAGAAGGAATCAGGAATCAAGGCTGTTGTGCAGAATCCAGCCAAGATGTGATGTGATAGTCATTTAGATTAGAGGTGGTGATAAGTAGATTGCACATGTATTTTGAAGATAAGAGCTATTGACATTTACGGAATTACTGAATTTTCAAATATGATAGCACCCAAAACTAAGTATTTTTGTGGTGAAAAAAATTTAGGAGACAAAAAGAAATTAAATCTTGTATCTTGTGTTGCACCGAGAGATGACCACTATTAAAAATTTTCATGTATAACTTCTGGGTTTTACCCTCTTTGTATGTAAATGTGGATACACATATAGTGTATTATATGAACAAATTCTGTATGTATTGAGCATGTTGCTGTGTTATTAAGTGATCTCCAATATTTTATCTGTTAAAAGCTTATTATTCTGTTATATAAATGAATTCTAGTTTGTGTGACTCTCTAACAATACTTAGGATGCTTCTGGGTTTTTCTGTTATAAATAGAATTTAAGGAAGCATATGCATAGTTGAGAAAAAAATTGAATTGCTTTTTGAAACCCAGAAATACATGAAAGTGAGGTTTCACAAGTTCATAAAGTAGAAAAGAATCTCTTCCTTTATAACCTCTTGTTTTCAACAGTTCACTGATTACTTGAGCCCCAAACAAAAACACCTTCCATTTACTCCTGTTTAAAATTTTTGATAGGGAAAAATGAGTCTTATTTGCATTTCTTTGCTTTTTGTTTTTGTTTGTTTTTAAGACAGGGTCTTTATTACCTCTGGCTGTCCTGGAATTCTCTGAGTCTATGTAGACCAGGCTGGCCTTGAATTCAAAGCAATCTACCTGCCTCTGCCACCATGCCCAGCAAGTCTTCTCTGAATTTCATACTGTATGGGCTAGTGTGTTTTATATTATACTTGGGAAAATAGAATCACATTTGTTGACATTTGCACATTTTTTAATGTTTTTAGTATATGACTAGTAATTTCTAGAATACTGGTGAGCCAGCTTTTAATGATCAGTGTACTTAGGTTTTAACAGCCTTGGTTCAGGTTGCAGTAATGCTTCTCTCTTCTCTGTTTTTTGGTCTCATTTTGTGTAGTTTGCTTCCATCTTTGCTTTTGCCACCTGCGGCGGGTTTAAGGGCACAACAGAAATTCAAGTGAGTTGTCCTAAAGGCGACAATAGGACGGTTACAGCTGCTTTTGGTTATCCATTCAGGTGAGTGGGGTGGTGTGTTAATTATTTAACAACTGGTTAACTTCACATTTAGTCACTAGGGTTTCTACCTGGTCGGACTCAGTGGCAGAAGCCTGTACTCTGAGCAGTCACAGCACTTGCAGGAATATGTGTCAAGACGGCTGGTCTGGGGAGCAGAGCCTGCCTCGGCTCTCATATGCGTGCACTTAGACATATTTTCCAGCATCTATTCATGGAAGGTGTAGAATAGTTTAGATTTGCATCTTCACTTGCGACTTTTACTCAGCCTATGGTACAGACCAATGCCTGTCTGTAAACCTTTTCTGGTCTCTAATGAGGGAAATATACAAAGGGGAATATATTTATTACTTCCTAGCTGCTGAGACCAAATACCTGACAGAAAAAAGACAGGGAAGAATTGCTTTGGTCCACAGTTTCAGGAAGCTGTACCACGGTAAGTTGGCTTTATGAACTTGGGCAGAAAATCATGGTAGTGAAAATTTGTGGCAAAGGTGGTTCTTCATCTCATGGTGAAGCAAGTATGTCCCCAAATGTTTTCCTCTAACAAAGCCCCTTGCTAAAGTTTCCAGAACCTGCTATAATAATGTCACCAGGGAGCCATGCATTCATTTGGTGAGTTTATAAGAGACATTTCATATTAAAATCATAACAGAGAGGCCAGGTGTGCTGTCACATGCCTTTAACCTCAGCACTCAGGAGGCAAACACAGATGGGTCTCAATGAGTTTGAAGACTGCCTTGGTCTACATAACAAGTTCCAGGATAGCCAAGGGAATAGAGAGAGAGAGAGACCCTGGAGAGAGGGGGGGTGGGGGGGGAGAGATATTGATCAAATGATAGAAAGCAAACATTTAGAAACTTAGAGTCCTATGGCATTGTCTTGACATTCTGTCCTATCACAGTAGATCAGATACGGGGAAGTGGAGACTGTTCTATTAGTGAGCCACTTTACTACCAAGGAGCACACTTAGTTTCTCAAGATACACATTTCTCATGTTTCTGCATTACTGAACTCATAGTGTTTTATGTCATTTCCAGACATATATAAAGTATACTTGTTTCTTAAGTATAAAACCATATTATTTTACTTTTAAAGGAAAATAAACAGTAGCAGGTCTCTTCTGTGCGACTTCAGTTTCCACTGAAAAGTCTATTGTGAATATCTATGTCTAAGATATGAATCTTCTGCTTAGCTTTGCTTTAGTTGGCGTCTTAGAGACTCAATTTTCTAACCAATACATTGGAAATAAAATACTTTAAGGATGTTTTGATAGTTAAAAACTTTTTTTGAGGCAAGATTTCACTACGTAGCCCTGGTTGGTCAGGAACTTGCTAGCCCAAGAACTCGTAGAGATCTGCCTTTCTCTGTTTCCTGAGTGCTAGAACTAAAGGCCTGCACTACTACACTCTGCAAATAAAATATTACGTTAGAGATCCATATATCCTGAGAGCTTGCTAATCACCAAAGCCTTTCTATCTCTTACCCGTTCATTTTGTTACAGTAACCATCATCTTTAATGATAATTGATTTTCTAATTTACAAATGGGTAAATGTAAGGCCATGTAAATTTTCCTTTAGCAGCTCATTAATCAAGGGCTGAAATATGAATCTTGAGGCTGAAGAGATGGCTCAGCAGTTAAGAACACTGGCTGCTCTTTCCGAGGACCTTCGTTCAGTTCCCAGCACCAACACATGGCTCACAATTGTCTGAACTCTGGTTCCAGAGGATCTGATGCCCTCCTCTGGCCTCTGCAGGTGTGACGCACACAGGTGGTGCACAGACATTGATGCAGGCAAAACATCCATACACATAAAATATAAATTAAAACCAGGTCTCCGGGTTGGTTGGAAATATCTTTTTAAAAAAGGAAGAAGAAAAATATCATTGTAATTGTTTCTCCTAAAACTAGTGACACACACCTCTGCCTCCTAGAATAGAAATGTGAGTTGTAAAAGACTTTTTTATAATCTCTTCTAATATTATACATTTTTATTGCAGGAAGATAGTGTCTAAATGTTAGAACTGTTTGACTCCATTTATATTCAGTCTGCCATAAACCTATTACTGAATAAATTTATGGTTATATGTAGTATGAAATTTTTGGTTTAGCTCAGTATTTGAATCTTTTCTAAAAAGAAAATATTTTTAGTGTATTTGGAGAATATATTTTGAAATGTCAGTATTTTGCTTAAGTATTTCTCTGTTAAGAGTCCAGTGATTCCTGTATTTATTTAAGTCTTTTTTAATAGGTTGAATCAGGCATCGTTCCACTCACCCCCGAATGTCAACGTGTGTGATGTGAAATGGGAGAACCATGTCCTCATAGGTGACTACTCCTCCTCCGCACAGTTCTATGTCACGTTCGCCGTCTTTATGTTCCTGTACTGCATTGCGGCCCTTGTGCTCTATGTAGGCTACACGAACCTCTACCGGGACAGTCGCAAACTCTCCATGATTGTAAGTAATCAGCTTATGTCTCTACAGAAGTAATGTGGACAAGTATAAGCTAAGTTACGTTTAAAGGTAAATAGAGGATTACCCACATAAGTGTGTTTGACATGAGGAGAGCTTTCTTCAGTTATTAAGTTTAATCCAATTTTCATAGCCTGTTTATAATTCAGAGAGAGTTGGTTTTGGTTTTATAAACCTGGAAAACTTTCGAATATTTGATTAAATCATTAAGTTTTAAGTAGCTAAAGGTTAAGAGTTTAAGAAATTAGTTTCTTAGCCGGGGGTGGTGGAGCACACTTTTAATCCCAGCACTCAGAAGGCAGAGGCAGGCGAATCTCTGTGAGTTCGAGGCCAGCCTGAGCTACAGAGTGAGTTCCAGGAAAGGTGCCAAAGCTACACAGAGAAACCCTGTCTCGAAAAAAACAAACAAAAAAAGAAATTACTATCTCTAATTTGAAGAATTGCAGATTGTACTAGTCAGATCTTTACTTCTCACCTCTTTCTCTTTCCTCAAAATTCCTCTTATGCCACTATCATTTTTTAGCGAGCTTAATTTTCTTTATCGGCAAAGTGTGGCCCAAAGATCAAATCTGAATTTTTTAAATAAAATAATGTTTAGCTCCACCTTATGCATTGTATACGACTACTTTTATGCTTAACTCTGACTCAGATAATTTTTATTCATCATCACTGGGATCAGCAAGTTACATTTGATCCTTTGAGATGCCAACAAAGGATTTGGATTTGAAAACTTGATACCTTTCTTAGAGCTTCTGAGTCTTCTGATCTAGAAATCACATAATCTTTGAGGTTAAGGGAGTAGCCTGTCCTTCCTGGATTTATCAGTGGCAAGTCCAGAGATAAGCCATGGTTTTATGTTAGACCTCCACTATAAAGGAATAGCTTTAAAGTCAGTGGTAGTGTGCAGGTTCTTGTGATGCTAGACATTTGTACCTATGAGAAGAAGCACTGAAGTCTTTGAAGAAGTTGTGAATTTACTTAAAGAGAAAGCTGCTTTAATATGAAGGAATTATTAAGATAAGTTATACTTACCAATTTATTTTTAATTTTTGCTGCTTGGATCATAGGAATGTAAATGGTAAGTAAAGAACAAAATAGTTTTATATCATGCATATTTACTATTTCTTTTGTCTGGAAAAGTATAAGAAAGCTAGTTGTTTTCATAAAATGTTTCTGGCTATTAACATTTTAAAGTGTTTATTCATTACAAATTAAGAATCTATAGCTTTGGACATTTCAGGCTTTGCCTTAAAAGTGACTAGATTGGTCATACTGGTAATATTTTTATTTTTTGTTTGTTTGTTTTGTTTTGTTTTTCGAGACAGGGTTTCTCTGTGTAGTCCTGGCTGTCCTGGAACTTGCTCTTTAGACAAGGCTAACCTCGAACTCAAAGAAATCCACCTGCCTCTGCTTCCCAAAAAAAAATCTTTTTTTTTTTTTTTTTTTTTTGCATTTTGTCATTATGCCAACAAATTCCTTTTTACTAAATAAAACAATGAGCCCTTTCTTGGATTTTATCTAATAATTTAAAAATTATTGCACTTAAGTCAGTATTTAAGGTCTAGTTGTAAAGAGCTTTCTTTGTGATAAAACTAAAACAATCTAGTTGTATATCATTTAGGGAGTCAGAATATTTTTCTGTATTAGAATGATGTTATTGGGCTTACAGATATTTCAGAGTTGGTTTCATCAATGGTTTTTGCTAGTATAAAGCAGGATGAGTACTTTTTTGTTTTGCTGTTTTTGAGACAGGCCTCATGTAGCATAGGCTGATCTGCTAACTAGCCAAAGATAAACTTGAACCTTCTGAACCTCTTGAACCTTCTACCTCTGCAGTGCTGGGAATACAGGTCTATACTACCATGCCCAGCAAAATGGATGCTTTTTTTTTTTTCCATTTTTATTTATTTATTTTTCTATTATCAGCTTGATACAGTATAAATTCTTATCCTAGTAGTGAAATGTTTCATTGAGGCTTGCCCAGTAATTGAGTAAAGCCAAAACTTATTATAAGCCACAGTCATCCTAGGGTTCCCCTGCTATATAGCCTCCCTAGTTCTGTGGGTTGCAGTCTGATTGTTCTTTACTTTATATCTAGTATCCACTTATGAGTGAGTACATACCATGTTTGTCCTTCTGGGTTTGGGTTACCTCACTCAGGATGATATTTTCTAGTTCCATCCATGCTTCTTATGTATAAAAGTAAAACTCAGTAGCTGGAGAGATGGCTCAGCAGTTAAGAGCACATACTGTTCTTCTGGAAGGCCTGAGTTCAGTTCCCAGCACCCATGTTAGAATGCACATAACTCTCCATAACTCCAGCTCCAGCGGGATCCATTACCTTCTAATAGCCTCCCTGACCCTCCCTAGACACACACACACACACACACACACACACACACACACACACACACACACAATTTAAAATAAAAAAAGCTTTTTTTTTACATTTTATTTTATTTAAAAATTCTTTTTCATTTTACATACCAACCACAGTTCCTCCTCCCTCCCCTTCTCTTAATTCACCACCACCACCCACCCCACCATGCCTCATCTACTCCTCATAGGGGGTAAGGCCTCCTTTGGATAGTTAGTCAACACAGCCTGGCATATCAAATTGGGACAGGACCAAGCTCCTCCCCGCTGGATCAAGGCTAAGCAGGGCATCCCACCATAGGGAATGAGTTCTAAAAAGCCAGTTCATGTACCCGGGATAAGTCCTGGTCCTTCTGCCAGGGGCCCCACAAACAGATCAAGCTACACAACTGTCACTCACATTCAGAGGGCCTAGTTTGGTCTCATGCAAGCATCCCAGCTGTCAGCCCAGAGTCTGTGAGCTCCTACTAGCTTGGGTCAACTGTCTCTATGGTTTTCCCTGCCCCGCCTGCAGGGCTTCAACTGGTTCTCGACCACCCTAAGGACGGAATGATAGGGACAGGAGATACAAGGGAAATACACCAAGTCTAGATTCTGATCAAGGTGCAACGTTATTTTTCTCCAGGAGGGTTTATATAGTTCCTGCAGGGTGGGGGGAGCAAGAAGCTGTCATCTGCATAAGGTGGGGCAAGCTAACAGGATGTTTGTATACGATGTTTACAGGGTGAAAGGGTCAAGGGCTCTGCCTCAATGTCCTGTTGCTAGGCAACCTGACTGTAAGATGATCTAGTTCCCTGTCTTATGGGGGTCTGTATTTTTCCACTAACTAGAGATTCTATCCTTGTCCCTGACATTTCCCCATCATGATCTTGACACCCCCCCCCACACACACACACACACACACACCTTGCTCCTATAATCCTTCCTCCCTCTCTTCAACTGAACTCCAGGAGCTTGGTCAAGGGTCTCTGCATCTGCTTCCATCAGTCACTGGATATAGGTTCTAGATGACAACTAGGGTAGACACCAATCTGAGTGCAGGGGAAGGCTAGTTCAGGCATCCTCTCCACCATTGCTAAGTCTTGGCTGGGGTCATCCTTGAGGGTTTCTGGGGATTTCCTTAGAACCAGATTCCTCCCTAACACCCAATGGCTCCCTCTGTCCAGATATCTCTTTCATTACTCTCCTTCTCCGTCCCTCCCCCAACTTGGCCATCTCGATCCCTCATGTTCCCACCCCTCTCCATCCCCTCCCCACTACCCTTCCTCCCAGTTTACCCAGGAGGACTTAGCCATTTCCACTTCCTGGGGCGATCAAAGCATGACCCTCTTAGGGTCCTTCTCTTTACCCAGCTTCTCTGGGGCTGTGGGTTGTAGCCTGGTTATCCTTTGCTTTGTGTCTAATATCCATTTACGAGTGAGTACATACCATGTTTGTCTTTCTGGGTCTGGGTTACCTCACTCAGGATGATTTTTTTTCTAGTTCCATCCATTTGCCTTCAGATTTCCTGGTGTCCTTGTTTTTAACAGCTGAGTAATACTCCATTGTGTAAATGTACCACATTTACTTTATTCATTTATTGATTGAGGAGCATCTAGATTATTTCCAGCTTCTGGCGATTACAAATAATGCTGCTATGAACATAGTTGAGCATGTGTCCTTGTGGTATGGTTGAGCATCTTTTGGGTATATGCCCAAGAGTGGTATTGCTGGGTCTTGAGGTAGGTTGATTCCCAATTTTCTAAAAAATCACTATAATGATTTCCAGAGTGGCTGTACAAGATTGCACTCCCACCAGCAGTGGAGGAGTGTTCCCCTTTCTCCACATCCTCTCCAACATAAAGTGTCATCAATATTTTTGATCTTAGCCATTCTGACAAGTATAAGATGGAATCTCAGAGTCATTTTGATTTGCATCTCCCTGATGACTAAGGATGTTGAACACTTCCTTAAATGTCTTTTGGCCATTTGAGATTCTTCTGTTGAGAATTCTCTGTTTAGATCTGTACCCCATTTTTTAATTGGATTATTTAGTATTTTGATATCTAGTTTCTTGAATTCTTTATATATTTTGGAGATCAGCCTTCTGTCAGATGTGGGGTTCGTAAAGATCTTTTCTCATTCTGTAGGCTGCCATTTTGTCCCATTGACTGTATCCTTTTGCCTTACAAAAGCTTCTCAGTTTCAGGAGGTCCCATTTATTAACTGTTGTTCTCAGTGACTGTGCTACTGGTGTTATATTTTGGAAGTGGTCTCCTGTGCCAATGCGTTCAAGACTACTTCCCACTTTCTCTTCTGTCAGGTTCAGTGTAACTGGATTTATGTTGAGGTCTTTGATCCACTTGGACTTAAGTTTTGTGCATGGTGACAAATATGGATCTATTTTCAGTCTTCTACATGTTGACATCCAGTTATGCCAGCACCATTTGTTGAAGATGCTTTCTTTTTTCCATTGTACAATTTTGGATTCTTTGTCAAAAATCAGGTGTTCTAGGTGTGTGGATCAATGTCAGGGTCTTCAATTCGATTCCATTGATCCATGTGTCTGATTTTATGCCAATACAAAGCTGTTTTTACTATAGCTCTATAGTAGAGCTTGCAGTCAGGGA